TTTTATTTCAATCTTTGTTAAACTGAAGTATTTTCTCTTCATCACTATAATTGTTAATATTATTATGGCTATACTTTTATCATTATAAATATTATTATTCTTACTGTTGTTAATATTGTCATTTTTTTATATTACTGTTTTCGTTATACTACTGTTGTTGTTATTATTGTTATTATTATTGTTGTTGTTATTTTTACTGTTATTTGTGTTATTATTATTATTAAAATAGTATAGTGTATACTTTTTATAATCTTTACTATTATGGGAGACTGGTTCTCCTAGGATTGCTATGTACCTAGATACACTCAAATATTTTTCAAAATTTGCCTGTATAATACATTCATTGTAACCTAAATTATTTTTAGCTCTTTCAAATAGCTAGTCTGGCATTTAGCAATATATGAATGTGAAGTTAGATGATTAATGTGAGAAACAACTAGTTCTTTATATTCAAATAAGTTAACTGTCTGAGTAATTAATTGTGATCTATCAGTACTTTGTCATTGATTAAATTGAATTTTCTTCTTCATCAATCTCAATTAATTCCTCATCTAAAAATGCCTTTAAGTTATCATAACCTGGACATTTGGCACATCTATGAACCATGCATTCATCACAATTTTGATTCACAAGAACCATGCTTGTATCACAATTTTGACATTAAATCTTTGTAAGTAACATTCCATTGGTTATATATATTGGTACATATATGGTATGTATTGCATTTACAAGCATTATTGAGTTTTGATGGTGAATACAAACACATAGACAGTGTGTACTGTTTGGTTCCAAAATTAAACACCATTTTGGACGCAAACTACAAAACTTTGAAAATCTTATTTAAAAAAATAATGTATTCACTTTTAAAATCAATATAAAGCTCATGAAGTTTGCACAACAATCTTTTTTGTTGTGGAGGAGCACTTTTAACCTTAACACAATCTTTTTTATCAGGCATAATTCTAAAATGTTCAACTTGTTGAAAAAAATCTTAAACCCAACCTATATGAAAGTCAGGTATTTTTTGGCCTCTTTTCTTATCAGGTAAAGCAAGAGTTCCATTTTCACTTTTTAGTTTGTATACGTTGTATAAGATGTTCAGAAACTTCAAAATATTCTGAAGCGTATTTTCTAGATCAAGATTCAGGTGTAAGTGTTAATATTTAAATTTTTTTTTAAAATGGTTCAACTTTAAGTTTTTCTTTTATTAAAGTTGTCAAATGATCAAGATCGTTTGCTTTTTTTTATCTGTAGGATGACTGGAAAAATTTGAGGCTACACTTAAGTTATCTATATTTACTCCATAAGCACTTGCTACTCCTTCCATTTTTGTTTGACAAATCAAAAAGCAATCAGGATTTGTTGAATTTTTGCATTTTTGTGATGAAGTCAGGTGTTTGTAAATATGGGAAGCCTTATCTGAATTTAAGGCTTCCCATATTTACAAACACCTCAATTCATCACAAAAATACAAATTCGGTAGGATTAGGCAATGCCAACCTAACTGCCGACCGGAAAGTGTTTGAGGTCGGGGAAAAATTGCCGACCTCGTTTTTATGTTTTATGGTCAGACCTTTGTATCAAATAATTTTTGCCGAACTGATGTTGACCTCAAAAAGATTGAGGTCAAGTTATTGCCGACCTCATTTTTCCTAATCCTGAGGGTTGTATACAAGTTAATTTATTATATATATATATATATATATATATATATATATATATATATACATATATGTGTGTGTGTGTGTGTGTATATATATATATATATATATATATATATATATATATATATATATATATATATATATTACCTTTAACCTTCTTTTTGTGTCTTTTTAAAACATCACAACACTTATCATTCTTTAATAGAAAATCTTAAAACCTACTCATGATGATAACAAATGGTCTTTATCTTGTGTGATGTAGTCTCAAACAAGCCAGACCTCCAAATCTTAGTATCTTGAAAATCCTTTTCTAGATTACAAAAATCTTTTAATCCTTGTTTTTGTACAAAACATATTTTTTGACATTCATCATTTAAAACTTTTCTAAATTCACAAGATTCCATTTTATTAGTATACTATTATTTATTATCTTTAAAAAAGATGCAAGGAAAATGAGCATTTTAACTTTAATTTTAACATGTTAACATTTCTAAATAATAAAACTACTAAAAAATTTAAACATCTAGTCAGCAACATCTAAAACAACATTTTGATATAGCCAAAACTGTCAGTTTACCACTTTTTTTTCTTGCTTTATTTATCAGAATACCTGTTTTTTTAAGCAATAAATTTAAGTAGATTTGACCATGTTTTTATTTCTGATTTTGAAAAAACCACTTTCCAATTCTTTGTAATAACTATTCAAAACAACTTCTTAAAAAAAAAAAAAAGACTCTCCCCAGTAAAATTGTGGTAAACGTTTTAATTTTAAGTGTTATGTTCGTTTTTAAATATATTAAGTTGTTTGATTGGATTTGTTAGCTCAAAATATGTAAAGTTACAAATTTTCAGCTTTCCAACACACGTATAACAGAAACAAGGACCAAAACTATTTTTAAAAATGGCGGATTTTTGTTGATTGAAGGAAACTTAAAATAGCTATATCTTAGGAACCAATTGAAATTAGACAAGGATATTTATAGTTTACTAAAATCTTTAAGTGGTTTAAAAATCAGCAAAATCTGAGACTTAAAGTTGCAGTTTCAAAAAAAATTGTATGTTTTGCATATGGAATCGCCCAGTAATGAATGAACAAAATATCCTAATGAGAGAAACTCCAAAACATTTTAAAACAATTTTTTATCAGAACAATCAGCCGATATTTAAGAAACAATACAATTCTATATTTTCCATGTCCTGGAAGCATTTCAAATAAAAGAAATAAACATTCACTTATTCGCAAAGCAATAAAAAATAGAAAGTTATTATCTACTGATCCCAGTCGAAAAGGACAAAAAGCTGCTGATGTTGTTGCTAATGCTCAAAGAATTAGAAAAGTACTACAAGAACACAAATACATGGTCTATGAGCATGTGGCACAACTTTCTTTTTAAAGATGAAATAAATGTTGAGGTTGATTAAGAAAAAACTAAGTAATGCTGAGAAGAAAACCACATAAAAAATGGATCCTAATTATTCTACGTATAGGAAAAAACATAGTAGTGGTAGTATAGGCATCTTGGCCTGCATGAACTATGAAGGTGTCGATGCAAAATATTTGATGGTTCAAAATATTTGATTTAAAAAATTTGATGGAAGGCTCAATTCGTAAAGATATTTAGACATATTGGATAATTATTTAATGCCTTCCATTGACATTTTTCCAAAAGACGTTGAAATCTTCCAACAAGGTAATGCTCCATACTGATAAGATTTGCAAGCAATTGTTTGAAGAAAACAACATAAAAACCATGTCTTGTCCTGTTAATAGTCCAGGATCAAATTCTCTAATAATCTCAATTATATAGAGAATTTGTGGTCTGGGTTAAACCACAATCTTGGTAAAATTAAAATAATAGATCTGGACCAGATTAAAGAATTAGTAACAAAATTACTGAATAGTGCTCCAAATGAGATTTCTCAGAATTTAGTGTACTCCATGCCAAAATATATCAATGAATGCTTAAAAGCAAAAGGGTTGTCAACAAAATATATATATATATATATTTTTAATGTTTTGTTGATATTTTTTATTAAGATTAGTTAATTTTATTTTTATGGTTTGTTTATTTTGGCCACATAATTTTTTTTGATACAAATGAACACTTAATTTAATTTCAATATTTTAGATTTTAATTTTTTTTAGATTTTAATTTTTTTAATTTTTATCATTTCATAATAAAGTTTTATTGTGATTATTTGATTTACTTCAATAAAAAAAATTCCGGAAAAAATCACTTTTAGTATATAAAATATTTATTTTCAAGCTTATATTCATACTAAAATAACATGATGGATTGTTATTAATGGCCAATACTGTATATATATTAAGCATTTAGATTGGCACTGATTCTTATATATTTTGCACACTTAATGTTGCTCAAAAGTACTGACTTTAATCCAAACATTTTTCAGAAGAAAAAATGAAGAATAATGAAAAAATTAATTTTTTTTTTGCTGTAATAATAGTTTTTCATCTCTAAATAATGCTTACCCAAACCCTCAGTTGATGTATGTACTTAACTTCTACAGCTCTTTCATCATAACATCATCAATGTTGTTTTATGCAAGGTATGGAAAGATATGTTTATATATATATATATATATATATATATATATATATATATATATATATATATATATATATATATATATATATATATATACACACAGTGGTACACCCTATGGTTTTTTCCCAGTTGCTTTGTGAGCGACAAAAATAATTTTTGTTTTTTTTTCAAGTCCTCCACAATAATAATCAGTTTTCCGGTGTAAAAGTTTTTTTTTTTTTGTAGTTTTTTTTTTTTTTTTGTTGGGTGAAAATAATGACGAAAAAAATTTAAACATCTGACTGCTAAAATATGTCTAATAAGAAACAGTTGATTTAAAAGTAAATTAGTTAATTTATTAATTAAATTAATTAAAGATGCGTTGTGATTTTTCTCCTAATCAATATCTATGTTGCATTGTTTGTTTTTATCAATCTTAAAAAAGGTTTCATTACATTCATTGAAGCAAAAATGTTAAAAGCCAAAACTGCAAAGAAACGTTTTATATATAGAATAATATTTTATTATTCTCTCTCAATCTTCAATCAAATTTAATTTAGTTGAATGTTTAAAACATGTTTTAATGTTTTGAACAATTTCCATTATACTAAGACTTTTTTTTTTCAGAAAAAAAGAATCATTAATTGCGCTCTTATAATAATTTTTCATGTGCACCTTAATAATGTTTTTTATTAAGGTGCACATGAAATATGTAATTTTAAAAAATATTGAAATTTTGTACCTACTTTTTAACATTTTTCAATTATTTGATATTGTTATTTTTTAGTACCAAACTCCTTTATTTTCCAAAAATGGTAGTTTTTACATAACTATGCTTCCTAAAATGGGCACAAAAGAAAATGGAATGTTTCGCCATGTTGCAATAGTTCCTACAAATGTAAGTTGTTTACTTTTCAAAGTTAACATGTTAGTTCATATATTTAAATATTACCATAAATTTTAAATGCAGCATACAAAATTATTACAGAAGCTTTTGGAATGAAAAATTCTTTTGATGGCAAATAAATTTTATTTTACACAATTTATTTATAACCCAAGTTTAAGTATGATTTTTTTTGGCAGAGTTCAAATTTTAGCTCTAAGGTTTTACTATAGCACTTCTATAACGTATGTTTCTTTGATGATAAAATATAAAGTTGATTTAATTTTTAATATAAAATCATTTAAAAATATTTTTTAATTTTTTTTAAGTGATTTTATATTAAAAACAATTAAATATTGTTTCAATTTTTAATTGTTTTTTTAAATTATCACTTTTGATTGGATAATCACTTGTTATAATTAATACTGTTGACTCTTCACTATATAAATTTAAATCTTATAAAATTTGTTTAATACAAATTTTATAAAATTCAAGTATTTTTTGGGTTCAGATAAAGTTTAAGTAAAGTTTGAAATTAATAACTAAAATAGTATTAATTTTAGTATATTGCATATCTTTAGTATATTACTTTTTTTTTTCTATTCTCTAATAATAATTCTTAAAAAAAAATTTTAGAAACTTGACTTGATAACTTAACCTGACAATAATTTTAATAAAACAAAATATCTCTGTTAACCAGTCTTTTTTTTTTTTAATAGTCTAGCAAAGATGTATATGTTCTCTGGTATGGGCATACACTACTACAGTCAACTTTTTAATGGCATGTTTTACCTATAATTTTAATAAAACAAAATATCTCTGTTAACCAGTCTTTTTTTTTTAATAGTCTAGCAAAGATGTATATGTTCTCTGGTATGGGCATACACTACTACAGTCAACTTTTTAACTGTTTTCCAGAAAACTCAGATCACTTATCTTTATTCTTTGATTTGTGTTTTGTCTCCCTAGTTTATAATCAGTTTTTCCTTGCTTTCGCTATTATTCCTTCTTATCATTTTTAAGTCAAGTCTAACTCTATTCCATTTTTTCCTTTTCTGTGTAGCCATTTTCAATTTTTATGAAGAAAAAGTTAAAGTAGATAGAGTGAGATACATAGCAAATATAAATTTTTTATATTTTATATACGACTTACAAGTCAAAGGAGAACGTAGTATTTGTAGAAAATAAGAAGCTAAAGTATCCAACTAGGTCCAACTACGAGTAGAGGTCCAACTATAGCTTTAATTCATTTTTGGATCTTGTTTAAGAGAGAGAGTTCCATTAGAAAAATCAGCCCAAATTTGATCCTTTCTTTATTCCATATAAAGATCGATAATGAATTTAATCTAAATTCTTTTTTGTGACAGCTTGGGGTTTGCAATGGCTCGTAAATTTTTTTTCCAAAACAAAACTTGTTTACTGCCAATAATTATTACAATATTGTAATAATTTTCATATAAAGTAATATATAACTTCCATATAAGGTAATAATTTCCATATAGATAATATATAATATCAATAGATACTGTATAAGATTCTATTGATAAATATTGCTCTTACTGATTTCTTTATTTCTTTTTGAATTATTCTTCACTGCTCAAAGATCTCCGTATTTTTTGACCCACATATTTTGTTGAATAAGTGAATTTTAAATTAATTCTCTAGAAATGGAAGGATATAACTCTTCAATATCAAACTGGATGAAAGTACAGTTATGTTTATCTTTAATATTGAGGAACCATTTTATTACATCATCTGTATTATCCCATTCTTTCAAAAAGACATTGTCTCATCAAAACCAAAATTGAGATCACAAATTATTATTTGGTTTAATCCTTTGCTTTAACGAATTGTAATAACCAATATTCCAAAAAAGTTTCCAAATCTAATCAAAAAGCATTTTCCAAAAACACATAAGTTTCGCAAAATCTTCAATAGGAATAACTTGAAAGTCAATTATAGCTGTTTTCCTAACATCATTAATATTATTAATTCACACAATAAAAAAATATTATCTAATGTTTTCAACATTAATGTTCCAAAGTGTAACTGCCAGCAATCTTCACAATGTCCTTTGCAAGGTATTTGTCTTAGTAATAATTTAGTTTTCATCTGCAAAGTAAAAACAGCAGGATAATGGTTTTAACTATATTGTTTTAATAGAGCTTAAAAGATGACTGGTACAAAACTTTTTTTTCAATTTTAATATTCATTAAATATATCAAATCTATTATCTAAAATATTTGTTTTCATAATATTGATCGTTGTTAAACGAACAAGAGAGTTTTTTGCACAAAAAACATTGAACACTAAAAAATCAGACCATAAAATTTTTTTAAGACAAAGTTTTTTTTTTTTCAAATAATAGATTGCTTTCCCAAACCAAACCCACAGTCGATGTAGTGAAGCAGCAAGCTATAAGAGGTCAATGTAGCAGCACTTCCTTGTAGCAGCAGGCTATAAGATAGTTTATGTAGCAGCACTTCCTTGTAGCAGCAGGCTATAAGATAGACAGTGTAGCTACACTCTGCCCATGTTTAACAATAAAAAAGCAACACTCCTGGCATGTTTTACCTATTTGTCAGTTGTTGTAGCAACACTCTTCATATTTTAAAAATATTTTTTGTTTTTTTTTATTGTTTTATAAAAATATAAAACAATAATTTAAAAAAAAAAAAAAAACACCATTAAATAACCCTTTCTAGTCATAATTATGACTGTTTTAAAAAACGATAAAATTTAATTAAAATTAAAACTTTCGCATTTTTTTAATTGTTTTAATTTTTAAATGACATTGTTGAGTCGCTGCTTAATTGTTAAAATAAAGCTTTGAAACTGACTTTTACCATTTAAGTCTCTTTCGACTATATATATATATATATATATATATATATATATATATATATATATATATATATATATATATATATATATATATATGTATATATATATATATATATATAGTATTTAAATATATATATATATATATATATATATATATATATATATATATATATATATATATATATATATATATATATATATATATATATATATATAGATATATATATATATATATATATATATATATATATATATATATATATATATATATATATATATATATATATATATATATATATATATATATATATATATATATATATATATATATATAGTATTTAAACAAAATGCAAATACAAAATACAATATATTAAAGGGTTTTTTACTTAAAAATGTAATTTTTAAAAATATATGTAGGGATCAAAAGAACAACAATTTTTGACTGATGGTGATTACATGATAAAAGAATTGGACTGTTATAACAAAGAGGAAGATATTGTGTATGAGAAACCTTCTTTCTCAAAAACAAGTATAGTCCTTATTTACAGTACGAAATGGTTATCATAATTTTTTCCTTCTTTTTTATATTTTTTTCTTGTTCAATTAAGGTATTACCGCAGTACAGAAACTTCATCAACTCAGTGTCATGTTTATAGCTATGATATTAAAACTAGAGATAAAAAATGTCTGACTTGTGGTCTTTTAAAAGGTAAGATTAATGAAAGTTGTTTTAAAGTTGTAAAAAATTCATCATTTCCTTGGAAATCCCTGTTTACAAGCAAGCAATCGTTTGTTGATTAGTAATTGTTTTTATAGTTATTGAATATTTATAATTTTTACAGTTATTGAAATATATTATTAACAAAAATCATCATTAAAGATGTGCTATTCATTTTATTTTCTAATAAATTATCAATATATATCAATCTTATATATTGCTTTTCAAATTAAATTAATATATAATTTTAATTGATACTGTCTATCTATATTTTATTGCCCCATACTATGAGTTTTTGTTATATCGTAATTAATTTAAATAAAAATGATTGTAAAAGTTTGATTGTTATTAACTTTTTGGAAAGAGCAAACGTAAATAAAATTAAAAAAGAAAGCTTCTTGTTCAAAATATTTTGTGTATAGGCCAGTTGATTAATTCAAAATATATTAAATTTGCTTAAAAATATATTAAATTTGCTGAAATGTATTAGGTAAATAAAATTTTGAATTTATTAAAGTGTTAATTAATGTAAAAAAAAACTCTTTGAAAAACTCTTTTCTTTCAAAGTAATAGTTATTATGGTATTTTACACTATCTTTAGGAAGGCCATATTAATGTTGCATGAGTTGTTTTTTGGGAAATTTAAGTAATGTAAATTAAACATTTATTTACATTATGAACATTACATTATGATATTATATTTATTTACTCAATCAATGATGTATAACCATAAAAATGAAAAATTCTTACACAAAAAAATTTACAATCTAGGTAAAATTAGTTCCAAATTAATTAAAGGAGTGTCACCTAAAACAAAGAAAAATCTTTTCATCAGTATATTGAATTTATTCTAATATACTGCTAAAGTCTCTATTACAATTTTTTTTTTGTACAGACTAAAAAAGTACGCAAAAATGTGTAATGAGATAAAAATGCAAAATACAAACAAATTTCTATTCTATATATTCATAATATTTTTAAAAAATATTTTTTAAAAAAAAATATAAAGAGATTGATTTATTTAGATGAAGAGACTGGTGCAAATTGTACCTACTACATGCCGCAGTTTAGTCCCAATTGTTCCTGGGTTACGTTATCTTGTTTAGGACCAATTGTTCCTCTTACCATCATTTATGGCATAAAAACAAAAACAATAAAAACTATGGTTGATAATGCTAATACTAGAAGAATGGTAAAGAATTTCACTATGCCAACAAGTCATTATTATACCATTAAATCTGATGGATATGATGTTCCAGTTCGAGAGATTCGTCCATACAATTTTGATTTAAAAAAGAAATATGCTGTCTTGTTTGATGTGTTAGTTAATTTAATATTCAAAACTTGTATATATATATAATTTGCACATTTATGCATTATTATCACATAATTAAATATTTTTTATGCAAATTTATATTTTCATCATATAATTAGTTATAAAAAATGTAAATATTTGTTATTTTTAATAATATTCTATATACATTGTTTATAAGTATTTGGATCATTTAACTATTTATTGATAATTCCTTGACTTATATGGGTGTATACAATAGGGAAAGATTGGTGGGGTCATAAGTATCAGTATCATATATATATAAATATATATATATATATATATATATATATATATATATATATATATATATATATATATATATATATATATATATATATATATATATATATATATATATATATATATATATATATATATATAATATATATATAATATATATATATATATATATAATATATATATATATATATATATATATATATATATATATTATATATTATTATATTATTATATATGGTTCTAAAAAGTTAATTACCATTTTTAAAAGTTTACCTTTCATCAAAAAAAAATTATCTTTGGTTTTCAAAAGGTTTAAACAATATATATTCTGAAATAAAAGTTTACGTTTCATTTACTAATAGTACGAGTATTAATCTAAGTTAAACACCAATTAAATAATAACAATAATCATATAATAATAAAGTGTTAATTAACGTAAAAAAAGCTGTAAAAAAGCGATATTTAATAATAATAAAGTAATTTTAGTGAAGAGGATTATAATAATATCAATAATATTATTAAATTAATAATTAAAATAATAATGATTATAGTAGTAATTGTAATAGCAACAACATTAATAATAAAAATAATAATAATAACAATAAAAACATTAATAATAATAACAACAACAATTATTATAATAGCAATAAAATTAATAATAATAATAATAACAATAATAATGATATTGACAAATATCTCATATAAATATTAAATAATTTTAATTAGTAGTAATGACAGTAATAAAAATGTATGCAATATTAACATCACATATAATAATAATAATACTAATAACAATAGTAATAATAATCTATTACAGTATTTTTCTAACAAGTAGTCAAAAATATGGTTTTTAAATTGTGAAATAGAGTTGAATTAAATTAATAATCTATTTACAGTATTTTTTTAACAAGCAGTCAAAAAGATGGTTTTTAAATTGTGAAATAGAGTTGAGTGATTAAGAATGAAGAGGTAAATTATTCCACAATTTTACGCATCAGTTTGTAATTGAATTATCACCGTATTTTACCAAAGATTGATTTGGGATAATTTAAAGTTACTAAAAGATCGAAGGTAATAACTAGAACTTTTTTTAGTGGTAAAAAAATGAAGAATGACTGAGAGAGGTTTACTAGTTTATGATTCCAGACAAATACACAGTTTAATAGATAAAGAAGATCACATAATTTGAGTCTTTTTTGATAGAAAGTAAAGGATGTCAGAATTAAAATAATTTTGTTGAAAGAATGTTTTTTTTAAAACCTTGTTTTTTAGGTTAGATAATCTTAAAAAAGCATTAGGCTTGCTTTGTCCCCAAACTTGACAAGGTTATTTAAAATGTGATCCAAAAATTGCATGGTATATATTAAGTAGAGTGTCATAATTGACATAGTGTCAAATTTTGCCTAGCATTCCATTTGATCTACACCATTTCACTGCTAAGTAAATGTATTTGTTTTAATACATAGGTAATGTTTAAACACAATCATCAATAATTGTATGTGTTTTCGTACGTAGGTAATGTTTAAGACCAATCATCAGTAGATGTATGTGTTGTTAAAATAATGCTGCTACCTTTAGCCTAATTAAATTATCTAAATATTATGCCTAGTTAACCTATTAAGTTCAATATAATCCTTATATTTAGTATCTTTATTATTTAAATATATTGTTTTTAATGACAGTCTTTTATATTATTATTTCTCTTTTTTAGATATGGTGGACCAAATACACAAAAAGTAAGTTGTAATTTATAAACTTATGTTTAAGCGAGTAATGAATTTGATAAAAGTTTATTTTAAATTGATATTTGAATGGTATATCTGTGAATATAAGAACATGAAACTTGATGGTGAAATTGAAAAATAATGAATATGAACTGATGAATTATTAAATAAAGTTGTGAAAGTTTAAAAAAATTTTAATTATTTTTTAGATTGACGATAGATTTAGAATAAGTTTTACAACTATGTTTTCTTCACATGACATTATAGTTGTCAATTTTGATGCAAGAGGATCAAGTTGTAAAGGCTATGCGTAAGTAGTTTTACTTAGACTTTTTACATTATTTTTGGTGATAATTTTTTTAGGAATAACTTTTCTTGTACATAAATTAAATAAATTATATGTTTAATTCTTCAATGCTATTTTACTTTGATTTTGTTTTATCTATGTTGATAACAAAAAGATGATAATATTGAAACATCAAATTAAACTGCTCCACTTGAACAATACTTTGAAGATTATATGAGTTCTGCTTGTTGCAATTCCACAAGTATACATATGGAAATGGATAAAACTATTTCCTTTGGGCATCATTAATTCTCTGTATCCCCCTGGTCCTTAGCATACTTTTTAGCTAAACAAACTTCAAGTAGTAAAAGAATAGCCTCATTTTTTTTTTAAAAACCCTTTTTTTTTATTTTTTTTTTTTTTAAATTTAAGAATTCCTCAAAGTGGCATTATTAAATTAAAACCATGTATATTGTGAGTTACATCCGCAACTGTAAATAATCAAATGTTCATATATGCAAATGTTTCCTGTTTGAAATTCTTATCAAGATAATCATTATTTTTCAAGCAAAACACAGCAATTGCATTTGTTATACTAAATGATTAAGGTGTGCCAATGTGAAATGGAACAGTTTTCACATTGGCTTTGATGGCTGATTATAATTTGTCTGGAAAATGGAACATAGATAGCTTATCAACATTTAGGTTTGTTTATAGTTCTGGAACATTTGTTTATAGCTCTGGAATAATCAACTCACATTAGTTTTTTATGTTGTTCATTTTTGTGATCACAGTTTGTTCTCCAAATTAAGTTATTTGATTAGATATTTTTATAATAAACCTATTTTTTAATTTTGGAATTAGTTTTTTTATGAGTTGAATTACCAACACTTAATTGTAATACAGTGATAGGCTTTAAAAAGATTCATAAGCTATAAGCAATGATTTATTTACTGCAAGTAGATAATGTAGGTTATTTTTCTCCAAATGATATTGCTTTTTGTTGGATTTGAAGTAAAGAGTGTTTGTTTTTTTATCTATTTTATATTAATTCTATAACTAAACTTTAAAAATATATGTACTATCATTGTCAATAATTATTCAGTCATTCATAGAAAAAGAAAAAGTACTTTTAGCATAGAACTATTTAGGTTTAGAATTGAAGAAGTGGTTTAGTCCCTGTTGAAGTGCCTCCATAATGTCCAATTATTTTATTGTACAAGCTGTTGCTTAGTGATTATAAGTAATAATAATCTATTGTTTTTAAATTAGCCAATAATTAGGCAGTTAAAAGTTGAATAGTTTGTTTTCTTGTATCCATTCTGCAATGTGAGGATAGGCTTTTTTATGGAGGAAGTCATTTATACACTTTTATTTCCATCATAAACTTTTTTTTTCCACAAGCTATTTTTCTATGAGTTTAACTTGAGTAGGTTGTTCAGTAGGTTGCTTTAACTGTAGTGTTTGGCAGAAGAAGTTTCCAGTACACTGTCCCACTAAACCAAAGTCTTTTTAGGGTGATTGACTTTTGGAGGTGATTTTGACAGTTTTTCGGGCCCTAGCCACTGGCACTTCCTAGTATAGTTTATGTAGAGTACCCACTTCTCACCTCTGGTGATGAAAAACCAGTTTAATGTGCAAGCGAAAGATCATACAAGTGTCCACTTACTAATTTATGTGACAGGTGTTTAGTTTGTGAGGTATTTCAACACCAAGTTTGAGTTCTTTTTCATTTTATGAGAGTGGTATGAGCACATCCAATTTGTGTTCCATGAAAAAATCTAGGTTTTCTTGCTGTGTTGTTAATCTCAGATTTCTTTTAATTAACTACATTAAATGCTTGAAATCCATTTACTGCAGGATCTGGGTTGATCTTGCAATGTTATGTTAATACACCTTGGTACTAATACTTTTTATGTGGGATTTTCATACTTATTGAAAATGCCTTTGTTGATAAAGTTGTCTAAGCTTTGTCAATCAATTAGTACAGAAAGGTTTTTCTTATTAAAAACTCTTTTATTGCATTTCAGAGACGTAGTAGCTTCTACTTTTATCATTGTTAATATCAGATTCAATTACTGCTAATAATGTTTTAAATATAAAAACTTTTGTTAAATATCTTGTTTCTGGAAGTTGTGACAATTGTTGATTTTAGCAGGACAAGTGATGCAAGGATGGCATTCAAAATTTAACAGCTTTAAAGTTACATTCTTTTGCCAAAATTTAAAAGACCCAAATAAATTTCTTTAATGTTTCATTATTTTAATATTTCATTGTTTTAATGTTTCATTAAGTTTTTGTTTATGAGTAGTTAGTTTTAGGTTTTTTTAATTTTTTTTGGTTTATCATACAGTAGTATAAGGACTTTGATAGTCTTTTGAAGGAAAGAAAATTTGAAATGTTTTCATACGAAAATAGTATATGTTTGTTGCTTTTTTTTAAAAAAAAGGAGCTTGCTTAAATTGCACATTTCAAAAATCAAAGAATACAGAATATTTTAATACTGTACAGACCTAAATTCAAAGTACCTAATATATTTTTTTATGATATATTTTTATTTGTATTTTAAAGTACTTAATATATACTTTTATATTTATTATTTTATGCATATATTTTTATATTTTTATTTTATGCTGAGATTACTGTTTTTTTTTTTGTTGTTGTTTTATAATTTTTTTTATTTGTTTTATTTTTAACTTTAAATTTAATTTTAGATATATGCATGCTGTATACAAAAATCTTGGTCACTATGAGACAATAGATGCTTTAAATCTTGCTAAGTATGAAATCTTTTCTACTATTAAGACATATTTAATAAAGAAATATATAATATGATTGATCAGAATGGTTTTTAAACTTACCAAATATATGAAAGTTTACTAAGCTTATACTAAATATATACAGGTTTAAAACTCATTTGTAACCTGAAACCCAAGGCTTTAAAATCCACCTGTAGATATATTGCAGTATAATTAAAAAATCACATTTAGATATTTACGAAAGCAAACTTATATTCATCCTGATCGTATTGCAATTTGGGGATGGGTATGCTGATTAAAACTGTTTAACTTTTTTTGTTAATTATTCATAAACTTGTAAATTCTTATTGTGTATTCACTCAATTTTTTTTACTGTAAAAATAATTTTTTCATATAATACTTCTATAGTTAAGTTGATGATTATTTAAAAAAATAATAAGAAAAAGTATAATCCTGGTTTATAAATTGATTAATTGATTTTCTTTCTAGTCTTATGGTGGATTTTATGCGGCATCAGTATTAGCTGATTCAAATGGATTAATTAATACAGCTGTTTCAGTGGCACCAGTAACAGATTGGAGATATTATGGTATATCTTATAAATAACTAAAATATTTTATAAATAACTAAAATATGTTATAAATAACTTTCTTTTTAATAGTTAGTAAACTTCTTTAAAAAATCTTTTCTAAGAAAAATTAAATAAACTTTTAAAATTTAAATCAAGTTTTGTCATGAGTTAATTTAAAAATAACAAGTAAATAACCAAACAAATCTGGTTATAACTCTCATACCTTGACAAAAAAATAAAAATATTTATAATAACATAATTATATTTAAGATGTATACCTGTATCCTACTAATGAAAAAACTTTCTAAACAAAAACTTTTAAACCTTACAGATGGCTTTTTTAATAATTGAAACGGATTCTTATCTGGTAGTGATCAACCGAAACTTATTCAATTTTATCTGGAAATTTTGCAACTTGCATTTTTATCTCATAGTGAGTTCTCTAAAGTTGAATAATAAAATATAGTTACAATTATAGTTAATAAAGAATTAATAAGTTAAGAATAAGTAAAATCTTGATAATGGCTGAAGCTGTATTTAAACCAGTAGATTTTACCAAATCTAGTATAAAATCTTCTAAACACACACTTGTAAATTCTATTGGTTGTCGCTGTCAGCAAATTAGAATTTATGCAATTAAAATTTTACTACCAAGATTGCAACTTTGCTATTCCTTGAAAAGTTGCGATCTTGGTGTTTTTTGGTAGTTCTGCCACAATTTGCAATAGATATTTCAAATGATAGCTTCTTAGTAGAATTTATATAAAGGGGTACAATATCTAATTAACAGTTTTTAAACATCTTATAAGTAGAAGCTTCTAAGTAAAAGTTCTAACCTTTTTATTAGGTTTGCTAGTTGTTACTTTTCTTTCTCCCTCCTTTAGATAAATAAAAAAAATAGTTATAACAAAAGACTATACATAAAAGACTTTAAAATGTATTAAACAAAACTATAAATTATGCCAATTACAAAAATGGTAATTTATCATCTGCCAGGTCTGAGTGAGGTTAGTAAAAATGCTACTGGTGGTACAGTTGTAGCCTCCTCGTCTGTAGTGTAGTAGCCTCCTCATCTGTAGTGGCCTTCTTGGCCTTGAGGAGGTGAAGTAAAATAAAAAAATAAAAAAAAAAAAAAAGTTGTAAGAATGACTAAGTTGTAAGAATGACTAGAGCTATTGCTCTCGACATATCTAAAGCTTTCGACAAAGTTTGGCATGCTGGTCTTCTCCATAAGCTTGCTTCATATGGTGTTTCTGGGAAAGTTTTTGAGATTATCAAATCATTTCTTTCTAACCGGTTTATTAAAGTCATCCTTGAAGGCCAACACTCTTCTTTATTTCCAGTAGCTTCTGGGGTTCCCCAAGGTTCCATCCTGGGCCCTGTTTTGTTTCTTATCTACATAAACGATCTTCCTGACAACCTTTCATCTAAAGTAGCTCTTTTTGCTGATGACTCAACTTTATACTCCTGTCTTGATTGGGGTTCACAGTGGCTTGTGAATTTCAACTCTAAAAAAACCCAATTGCTTACTGCAAACAACTACCGTAATATGGTCAACATTCCTATATTAATGAATGGCAATCCTCTTACTGAGTCCTCCTCTTTACGTCTTCTTGGATTATCGCTTACTACTGACCTTTCATGGAAACCATATATACAATCGATTGCTAAATTAGCTTCTGCTAAGGTTGCTTCTCTTTATCGTGCTCGCCATTTCCGTACTTCTGATTCCATTCTCTACCTCTACAAATCTCTTATTCGTCCCTGTATGGAATACTGTTGTCATATTTGGGCTGGTTCTTCTAACGATTCACTTTCTCTTCTTGACAAGGTCCAAAAACGCATTGTAAATGTTGTTGGACCTGGACTATCTGCTAAGCTTGAACCTCTTTCCTATTGTCGTAAAGTTGCATCTCTTTCTCTTTTCTACAGATACTATCATGGTCACTGCTCAAAGGAGTTATCATCTCTAGTTCCATCAACTAAAATTCTCGTTTTACTCGTCATTCAGCTACGTCTCATTCGTTTACTGTATCTGTCCCTGCATGCTCTAAAAACTTTTATTCATCTAGTTTTTTTCCCCACACTTCAATCCTTTGGAACTCTCTCCCATCTTCATGTTTTCCTGACTCATACAACCTTCAACTTTTCAAGTCTTCTGTCAACCGTTTCCTAGCTCTATAACTCTGTTCTTTTTTTTTCCTAGTAACTCTCAACTTAATAGTGGTTGCTTGCAGCCTTGTTGGGAGTGAATGCAAATAAAAAAAATTTAAAAAAAAAAAGTGCATGATATATGAAGCAAGAACTATATAAGTTAGATTATTATGCAGTTGCATTGTTATTTTTACAGTAAATATAAAGTTTAATTGTATGCAAAAAATATAATGTTGAATTTAATTTTACTAGAGACAAAAAATATAAAGTTGAATTTGTTTTATTAGATACAGTATACACCGAGCGTTATATGGGATTGCCATTCGCAGAAGAAAATTTAAAAGGTTATGAGGTAAAATAGTGTTTTATACTATGTATTATTGTTGTTGCCATTTTGTTTTTGTTTTTGGTTTATGATTTTTTTTTTTTTTAATTTTTAGTCAACTTCACTATTAACTAAAGTTTCTAATTTTACTGGGAAAAACTTTTTTTTAATTCATGGCACAGCTGATGGTAACTTGTGTTTGATTGTTAATTAAATTTTATATACTTATTGTTGATGTTTGCATTGGAAGGTTAACATAAGTCTAAAGGGAAAGTATTTGTATAATCTCTATTGTGTAAAGGATAAGATCATCATGGCGATCTCTATATTATATGTTTTGAGTAAATATCTTATAAGTTTTGGGAAAATCAGGTAGCCATTTATACATTCATAATTTAAAATTTGCAATTTATTTCAGATAATGTCCATTTCCAGAATTCAGCACAGTTGGTAACTGCTCTTATTAGGGAGAAAATTAAGTTTCAGTCTCAAGTAAGACTTTTTTCTGTTTTTTATTTTTTTATTTTCAGCAATTTCCAAAAATATAATTACCAGTTTAATAAATTATTTATAACAATAATTAATTAACTTTTTTAAGTACTTCCCTGATCTTGATCACAGCATATCGAGTGGAGGATATATTAACATGATTATATGTGATTATCTTTTATTTCATTTAACTGGTGAAAATCTCGATAGCAGCTTTGCTCGTTACAAAAATAAAAATTTCTACAACCATTATTAAAAGGTTTGTTCTTCAACTATCTTAAATTTAAAAAATAAAAATTTTAATACTTATGTATTTTAAGTCTAATTTATGTAATTTAAGTTTAATGGTTTTTATTATACATAGTTGTAATATACTTTATATATTTAGTTGTATTTAGTTAACAATTATATTTAACAAAAGTGGTATATTTCACATCACATCAAAGATTTCACAATTAATGCTAATACTGCAAAGTGAATCAAAATGAACAATCATTTTGTTTTCATTTTAAAATGTCTCTGTTTTTATGATTGATATTTATGCTGTAATACCTTAAATTTATTTATCTATTACTCTGTTATTGACAATGCATGACAGCTATTGCTTGGAAACTGATGCACCTAATGTTAAATAATTGAGCAAACCTTTAGATTTTCGTTTAAGATGTCCATATAAGTACAAACTTCTGTTAAAAGATTTATTGATGTAGATGTTATTTATTTATATAAAATAATTGAAATGCCGTTCAGTTTATACTGTAAAGTTATAATAATATAATAGAAAGTAACCTTCAGAACTTATTTTCTCTAGTCTATTTAACATATGCTTAAATAAATCTTATTTTGCTTCTGGAAACAGGCATCTGTTGTTACACCATCTCATATATAGTCTAACAACTTACACTCTAACAATTGGTTTCAATTAATGTTGATTATCTCGTACTACTGCTGTCTTTTTAAACGTTAAAATTGAACGGTTCTTAAAACCGTTAAAATCGAAATTGAAAATTAAAAGTGATAAGCCAAGAACGCGGGCAGCTTTATGGGACCGAAATAGGTTGCATACATCCCGCCCAAGAAAAATTATCGTTGGGCGTGAATTGGGGCCTATTGTGGGCTGCAAATGTGGGACCCACATGGGTCCCAATTTTTTTGTTTATTTAAATTTTTTATAATATTTTGAATAATTATTTATTTTTAAGTTAAATACAAATAATTTAAAATGTTGTCATAAATATATGACTTGAGTCTAGCTTTATAGAAGTGATACAGGAAATCAAGTATAGGTATAGAATAGTGGTATAAATATAGAAAAAGAATAAGTATAAATAGGTATATAAATAAAAAATAAATAAATATAAATATAACAAATAGATGTAAGTATAAATATTTATATATATATAAAGCAGATATAAATAAAGGTTAAGGTAAAAAGTAATAAACATTAACAAATATACCTCAGTATTCAAATAACGCATAGTAAAAGTAATAGTCAATTAAAAAACTATATACAAACCATAACTGGTTATTTATAAGGATCGAATTGTTCTCTATAAGACCTCTCATTTTATTAATATTTTTGCTTGTGGGTTTACAAAAACTCAAATAGCGTATACACTTTCAATAACTTTTTTATCCTGGAAAAAAAACTTTTTCACTGACTTTGTAACTTTTTTGTTTAAGTTCTCTTTAATGTTTGAAGAAATAGTTTTCAAAACACAATTTAAAACACTTTTACTACCACTAATACATGGCATTAATAGCACTATTCCGGAGTCTTTAAAATGATTTGACTTATAATAAAAAGAAGATTTTTCGAAAAAGAGTTAATTTGAATTTAGTTTAAACTTTGAGAAAAACTTTGAGACGTAATTACATTTGAGAAACGTAAAGGTTGTGGCCCCCAAATTGCTGACTGGGTTTTGTATTTAAGGGCTAGTCCACATGAAGCCCATTTAGGGCCCATATATAAAACCCACATGGGGCCCACTTAGACAAACCCATATGGGCCCCAATAGGACATGTTTTCTGAGTTTTTTATGACATATTTTTTCACTTAACTTATTAAAAACTATTTTCAAGAATCTCTAAACCAGTAGAATTACTTTTTTTTTTTCCGAAAGTAACATTTTCCTAACAAAAAGTAACATTTTCCGAACAAAAATTTGTTCAGAAATGTAACTTTACTCACAAAATAATTTTTTGTAAGTAGGGTTTTAAGTTGTTTATCTTTTTTATTGATATATAAAAATGTAATTTGTTTCTAATTTTATAGATAACGCGTTTGTTGGTATTTTTATAAAAAATGGCTTTATTCGTTTAAAAATTACTTGTAATTAAAAATCGTGTATATACGAAGAAATTAAATAAATATTTTATCAAAATTGTAAATTTATTGGAATTAATAAAAAAAATTACTTGGGCTTACTCATTTATATCTTTAATTTATATATATTTTTATTTGTTGATTAAAAATTGTATAATTTTATACTTAGATTTTTCTAAAATGAAAATCAAGAGCCTAAAGTGTTTTTTTTTTTTTTTAATAATGCGGACTAGTTGACTGGGCCCTGAAAGCGTTCATGTGTTGCATGGTTTTATTATTGATCGAAGCTGTTGCGAAATGTTACGTGTTGAATATTTTTTTAAACAACTTATTCTATGTACTGTTTTTTATAGAATTGGTACATATAATAATATAGTTATAATAATCAAAAAATAAAAAACTCTCAATAAAGCGTAAAAATTAAAAATTTCAGTAAAGCGTGAAAATATAAAAAAGTTACCGTAAAGCGTAAAAATAAAAAAATTCCAAAAGAAAAATTTTTCAGTAAAACGTAAAAATTACATATCCTTCTGCGTTGTTCGCTTTCTAAGCAAAGGCTAAAAGAAGTGAACTTCTACTTATTACTTTCTCATGTCTAATGTCATGTCATGTACTACTATGATATATTTCTCATGTCTGTAGCAGTATCTAATTTTTTATTATAATTGTTATATAATTGGAGGTCTCTTGGCTATTGTGTTAGCTTACCCGTAATGTAATGTGTATTAACTGTGTATGTTTGTATTCCGTCTGAACCTCTGGCACGGTTTTCATTAACTCTTAAGTTACTACGTATATTTTAAGTACGTATATTGGAGGTATATAATTTTGAAACTCAATGAGCGTGTTAAACTCTGATAGGTTTTTGTATATAATTACCAGAATTCAGTTTCATCATCATGTTTCAAAAAACTCACGCACTGACCCATTAGAAAGCTAAGCCATAAGTTCTTTTTCACATAACAAATACGCCTAGAGGTTCATTATCTGGTAATTTAATGTGAAATGTGTTCCGCTTTGTCTTAAAATAATAAGTTATATTCAAATAAGTAATACAGATATAAATCTTGTAAATAAAGCTAAATTAAATTTATCAAAATATTGATAAATTTAACAAAGCATTAAAATGCTTAAAAGACTATATTGACAAAACTACATTAATTAAAAAGGTTTGCATTTGCTTTAATTGTGATTTTTTAATAATTGTTCAAATAAAAAGTTTCTTCAGATTAGTAAAGACTTTTGATATCCTTTAAAACTCTTACTGATCGTTCGGTACAAATATTAGATCTTTACGTATTTATAGACGAAAGAAAATCACACCAAAACTTCGAGAGAGTATTAATGATGTATGCAATGAATGATGATGTAATGATTGATTGCTTTTGGATGAGCTTTAATAGCTTCCTCCAATTTTTTATCATTTTCTAGGTTAAGCATTTGGTTTGAAAACCATATACCTGTCATCTCAAGTCATTGTCTGAAAGAATTAATATGTAAGCAACTAGTAAATAAATATCCCGGAACTTCCATCTAACTTGACTAATATTTGGTAAAATTTGCCTTGGAAAATTTTTTTTAATTCTAAAGTATTTCACTACATTAATGAGATGTTCTCCGTTTCATTTCATTCTCCTTCAGTTGTATATCACTATTGTCAAAGTTCAATGTTAAATAGCCATACTTACTACTTACTGCTTCGACAAAACTAAATAATAGATCAAGTGAATTGGTATTACCCCGAAAAAGCAGCGTGGCGCAGAGGTTAGAGTTTTGGCTCAGAATCCAGAGGTCCAAGGTTCAGCCCAATAAGCGACATTGGTAAGGAAGGAGGCGTGAACTTCTAGTTGAATGCTCCCCCGCGGTGCTCCATGATAAGACCGTAAGGACTTCTGGGAGCACCTAAATAATATTAAAAAAAAATCATTTAGACTTTAATATTCAATCTAATATATGGTGCTAACAACCAACATAGAGAAGTTTATCAAAGCCAACACTATTCAAGTTATGTCGTTAATCTCTTTATCGCTTGTTTTCCCAGTGTTAACATTTGTAGTGTTTTTAACAATTATTTTTATAAATCATATTCATTCAAAGTTCTCAAAGCCCTTTAAAAATTGCCTCTGACTTTCCATCCTTTAACTACATTGGCTTTTACCAAATCTATCTTTTATCGTCCTTTATGTCAACTACTTGATGTTCCACCCCAGCAATCTATTTCCCAACAAAATACAAACTCAATTTCTCACATTTAGTTTTTTTCTCAATTTATCTTATCACATTGTGGCAGTTTTTCGTATACTCAACTTTGTTAGAGCAACCAATTTAACAGCCTCATTTGCCCTCTGTTTTATTTTTCGTTTAATAATATTTATTGATGGTTTATAATCACTAACTGACTCATTACTACTTTTGTTTTCCTTTCTGTATTCATTTAGAATTAAAGTTGATGGAACATTTCCAATTTTGATTTTCTTAAAAAGATGTATTTTTATTGGATCATTTCAATGTAGTAGGTAGTATGTAGTATATTTCATTATAGTATCATTATCCCACTCTAACAGATATCTCTAATAGCTTTAAATCTTATATCTTAAGAATATCTTTTTTTGTTATATCTAATAAACCATCATAACTCTATATACTCGGTTTTTTGATTTCTATTTGTCTCTTTTTAATCAATTTTTCCATTATCTTTGGCACTTATTTTTTGCTTTTTGGAAAATTTAAATTAGCCCACATTAAGGAGTTTTACCACGTGATATTTTTTCGCGGAAAAAAATACTTCGTTTGTTTTTGAAAAACTTTGTCCAAAAAATGCAAGAAATGATTTTATGTAGGTGACGAAGAATAACAACCCACCCATGAAAATCAATAGTATATACGTATATATAGATGTTTTTTTTTTAGAAAAGAATTTACTACAATAATTTGTTTGGGGACGACATTTTGCTTTAGTATTGATAAAGTTATTTAACTTTAAATGTTTCAGTTTTGTTTAAATACAAGTCAATTAAGATATTTCTTTCGCCCCCACATAAAAATAGATTCAGCAATTTATTTATTATATGAATAAGTTTTGGTTTTTTGTATTTTTTTTTTTTTTTTTGTAGTTTAATAGGGTGGGTTTATTGTTTTCTAGGTGGAGATTTTTTAAATTTCCCCCGTCTTTAGATATTTTTGAGTGCAATCAAATCTTGATAAGGAAAATTAGCCGTTTTTTTAACAAGTAAACATCTAAAGGTTTTTCACACATTTTCACACATTTTCACACATAAATTTTATTTTTTATATACCTGAGATTTTATTACAAACTTTCAGCATTTTAAAGTGAATTTATTTCTTATGTTGTTGATGTCGTTTTTGCTAACCAATTAGTAATTTAATTACAACAGTTTTTAAGTGAGTCTTAAGACTCACTTAGTAAGTTTCTAAGTGAGTCTTAAGACTCACTTAGTGAGTTTCTAAGTGAGTCTTAAGACTCACTTAGTAAGTTTTTAAGTGAGTCTTAAGACTCGCTTAGTAAGTTTCTAAGTGAGTCTTAAGACTCACAAAAAAATTAAATTGTAAGTTATAAATAAGATCTTATTTATAACTTATAACTTACTTTCTTTACAATTTACCTAATTTTGAAGTTATATGTATACATATATGATGACTGGAAAATCTATACTTGTTTAAATAAAATGATCAATGAAAGTATTTATGATTGATATTTGACATAAAAAATATATCTTATCATATTGTAGATTTTGCATGGATTTCAATATTAAACTGTTTTGCTGCAAAAATGCTTTAGCCAAAAAGATAAATAGATTAGTCGACACCATCAGAAAAATAAAGAAACAACAAAAAATTGTTATTAAAATTGTTAGGTGTAGCCTTTTTTCTACCTGTGGCAAATTTCCTCATAATACAGTAAATGCGTCTGAAATTCCTAAAGAAACAATACTGATAAGCGAAAACAAAATGCTTAAAAAAGCAAATAAAATTTTAAAAGGAAAATGGAATTTATGATGGATTTAAAAATGGATTATTTTACACATCTAATAGATTTTAAAGATATGCAATATTGAAGGTATGCAATATAGAAGAGCCAATGAATGTTTCTCTAAGTTTTTATTATAATTTAAAAAAATTTAACTGGCCTTTTTTAACAGTACATACAAACAGATATATATATATATATATATATATATATATATATATATATATATATATATATATATATATATATATATATATATATATATATATATGTATATATATATGTATATATATATATACATATATATACATATATATAAATATATATATATATATATATATATATATACATATATATATACATATACATATATATATATATATATATATATATATATATATATATATATATATATATATATATATATATATATATATATATATATATATCTGTTTGTATGTACTGTTAAAAAAGGCCAGTTAAATTTTTTTAAATTATAATAAAAACTTAGAGAAACATTCAAAGCTACCCGCTATTCTCTAATTTTTTTAGCAGTAGTTACTCTTATTTTAGGGTAGTTTAACCGCTTAGAGCCTAAACAACAGACTCTAATACCATGTTCACACTAGCGATGTTCGGCGGAACAACAACAACGGCGGCAAATGTTCCTGGAACAAAATGTTCCACAAAATGTTACTTGTAGCGTTCACATGTAAAATTGGCTTGACGGTACATAAAGGAAAAAACGAGTAAAAAAACGGTAGGTAAAACTATAAAAATTAGTGACAGTTTGGCAAATACACATTGGTAATATAATTTATTAATTTTCAATATTTAAACATTTATGAGAGGTAAAACTAAATACAAATAACGCTGAGGGTTTAGCTAGCTCAGAGTTAGACAATAGAAACCCAACCCAAAATACCCGCCATACAAAAGGTGACGTTGGAATTTTGTTATCCCGTTTTATGGCTTTTATGGATAGGTAATATCTCCTTTAGTCGCTTTTGACGACACAGAATAGTAGTCCATCAGTGGTATAGTACCGAATAAACATATTATACATTAATATGTTACCCACGACCAGTTAAAACTAATCTCATTTTGTGTTCA